TTTGGAATTGTTTTTATCGAAATAGTAGATGCTTGCACAGCTGGAAGAAGTGGTCGGTCTCTGTTCATTTGGCCTACAAAAATCTCAGCTTCCATAGCATAATGTGTAGGAGTACAGCTCTATGCTACACAGGCTTATAAATCCTGTCATTGATTTATTATTATTATTTTTTAATTAAGTTGGTCCACTTTACAAAAGAGCCATTAAACATGCTGTGATGCAGAGAGCGGTTATGTCCACTTTGTCCACTCTGAACTGATACTTTGCTTTTATCTAGTCTTTGTACAGTGAAAAAGAAAAAATTGGCAACACAAATTCATACTCATATAAGCACTTAAAGTGAAGGGTCCTTCTGTTCCATCTAAACACATACATTTATAACAGCAGGTAACGTGATTGCTGTGAGCCGACTTACATTATTAATGTGAATTTAATTACCTGTCATTTCTGAGGCATGTCGGGGAGATGAATGGAGATAATCAAGATGAAAAGAACAACAGATGAATAAGTGGCGTGAACTAAAGCAAATTAGTAATGAATGGATAGAGATGAACACAGAGGACATTTTTGTGATGAATTATGGATTATTAATGTTTCTTTGTCTCTATAACAACATAAAATTAGTTCAGCAATGCAAATTTCTGTGTAATTATGGCATATTTTGCTTGCGACAATACTGCCCTCTAGTGATAATACCCATTCAAGTTTAGTGATTTTTGGAGACATGAATGACAACGTAATTTTAAACCGAAATAATTAACTAAATTCGAAGGAAATATACTAATAATATACAGTACAACACAATATACAGCTGAAAGGCAGTAGATACTGTAAATTGAGGTTCCAAGTGGGACAAATATGGAGTCGTATTATGAGAGAGCGGGAGAGAAATCGAACTAGGTTTGCTGGGTCACTGTATCACTGATTCTGACACTCATCAATCAATATAGCTGCAGGCTGACCAGACTGACTTTCACTTCACTGAGTGGTATAACAGAGTATGAATTATTAGTACAAAATAACAAAACAAAAGTTCTGTGGTCATATTAAATGATGTTGTCAATTATCATTGCTGTAAACATGTAAATCTAAAAATGTAAGGGAAAATGCACCAAGATTATTGGAGTGTTTAGTCTTTCTACTTTGAAATTTAATGTTTAATTCAATGTGTTACTTGATGTTTTATATGTGAAATTTACTAAAAATTTTAGAGTGAAAATTTGGATATAAACATTACACTAGATTTTTTTCAGTGTGGACTTGATAACATGGCCTTTATACTTGTCATTGACTGCTGCTCTTTCACCTGAATATGAATGCTATTGGGGAAAGCTTACTGCTTTATTACACTGTCTATGAGTCACTGCATAACTCATAGTTACTGTTCTAACACTCTACAATAATATTGACCGTTCCTAGGACAGGTCACCAATGAAACAATACAAACATTAAGTAAGGCATAAGGTATAATCCGCTGGTCATTATCAGCTGACTGTACACTATCCTGCATTACGTGGCTTTGGTGTACCAAATAAATAATTAGCCAATCAGATGTGAGATACAATGTTTGTCACAGTTTTAAAAGTTCCAAAGAAGAATATGAGTCAGAAAGTTCCAATAAGAACAAAGAATAAACACAGGGTAATAACCGTGTGCATGATACACAAACAGCAACCACCAATGAACTGAGGGAACAAAGGAACTTAAGTACACACTGATAACAAACAAACAGACAGGTGTGATGATCAAATGAATTGCCATAGTAACTAAACAGAGCAGGAAACTAGAACAAAGACAACAGGAAATGAAACAAACTAAAAGTCCATGATAATGAAAAATAAGTGAACAGAAGACTGACAGTTCCTGACAGTTTGCAAAGTTTTTTTTTTTTGGAAAGAAATTAATATTTTAAATTAGCACAGATTCAATTGACAGTAAAGACATTTATAATAGTTACAAAAATTAATTTTTCAAATAAATACAGCTATTCATGAAAGAATCCTGAAAAAAAAATGCATTACAGTTTCCACAAAATATTAAGCAGCACAACTGTTTTCAACACTGATAATAACAAGATCGGCAGCAAATCGGCATATTAAAATTATTTCTAAAGGATCATGTGACACTGACGACTGGAGTAATGGCTGCTGAAAGTTCAGCTTTGCCTTCACAAGACTGTTAAAGGCAGGGTAGGTGATTTGGTTCAAAAACAAGTTTTGTTATGCTGGTTGAAAGTCTTTTCACATCCCGATAGCAATCAATAAGTTAAGTGATCTAAATGTATTTATGTATTTATATCGCCTGTGGAATGTGTAGGACCATAAAATGTTCAATAAATCAGATCCGAACATTACGATAGGCTGTCCTACCTGCCTGTCAACGCACAGTATGTATTTGTATTTTTATTATTTTAATATTATGTGCTTTGTACTGTAATGTTTTCTCACCGGTGAATGAGACATGAGGTAATCTGACAGCGTGGCATTCAATCCTCCACCAACGCCATCTGTCATTGAGTCGCTGATTAGCTTCTGGTCTGCCTGTTCGCATTCATATGTTTTGGAGTAGGTGTGGCTTTGCAGAGTGATTATGCAGGGAAGGAAGGTGGGATCTTGCTTTCAAAGCTAGCTTGCTATTGCTAGCCTTTCCGAAATCGCCTACCCTACCTTTAAACTCTGACTGGGCTTTGTTCCAATCAATTTTCATATTCACCCAAGCAAATGTTGTATGATGTAGCCTTAAGAGGAATCCATTCATTCCTATGAGTCTAGATCATGTTCAAGATCGGCATGATTGTAGCTTTAGGATTTCTCCTAAGTAAATGATTTACCCAAATTTTACTGGGAAGTTCATCTCACACATGCACAGCACACACACACACACACACACACACACCCGTACACTTACACAAACACACGCGTATCTGTTCTGGTGTTGCCTTGTTGTCACACAGCCAAGGTTCAATCTCTCTCAGCACATTTACACCGCTCCTTTGACTGGCAGTAAATAAGTGACATAACCTCTAACTAGAGGACTCTGCAGCAGGGGTGGATGTCCTTACATACAGAGAGAGAAATAGACTCCAATCCTTCTTTTGATCCTGAGTGTGGACAGCATGTAATAGGATCCACATGTTCAGTCTGGCTGAGTGACTGGCTCAATGCTTAAAGGGGTCATATGATGCTGCTAAAAAGAACATTATTTTGTGTATTTGGTGTAATGAAATGTGTTTATGCGGTTTAAAGTTAAAAAAACACATTATTTTCCACATACTGTACATTATTGTTTCTCCTCTATGCCCCGCCTTTTTGAAACGCGTCGATTTTTACAAAAC